GATAAGTCCACCAAGTGCACGACCACTGGATTCAGCTAATGTTGTTGCAGTTTCGGTGTAATCCAGTGTCTCGTTTAAGATAAGACCGAGATAACGATACGATTTTGTTATCACTAAATTAGAATTTCCAAACGTGAAATTAAAATCAGTTTTTGGCCGTGCAGCCCGTCTGAAATGTGTTACTTGGGTTTTCTCTGTATTTACAGATAGACGCCATTTCGTTGTCCATACGTACATTGTATCTAACATTAATTGTAAATCCTGTTCCGTTGACGCAATGAACACCATGTCGTCCGCATAAAGCAGAGTTGAGATATATTCGTCGTTAATCCTAATTCCATTATTAAGACCTTTTATTGACGTGACTAAGTCATTCACAAAGATGGACCAGAGTGTCGGAGAAATTTGGTCCCCCTGTTTGCATCCAAGCTCTGCGGTAAACCAGTCAGTTAAGTTCCCATTAAGTCTTACGGCATAAAGAATTTGCGTGTACAGAGATCGAATGGCTAAGTACATCTTACCGTGTATGTTGTTTTCAAGTAGCTTATACCATAGACAGTCGTGATTAATTGAATCAAAACATTTAGAAAAATCCACGAAACAGGCAAAAGTGTCCTCCTTAAGTCTCAACCTATGACGTAATATTGTTGTAAGGGCGTACAAATGATCAATGCATGCACGAAATTTCCTAAATCCATTCTGCTCATCGTGCAGTATATTATTTGCGTCTAGGAATGTGTGCAGTCGTGTGTTCAGGACGGACGATAAAATTTTACACACTGTTGACATGAGACTGATCCCCCTGTAGTTTAGGGGCACTCTGGGGTCTCTTTTCCCAGACTTGGGGATGGGGTTAATTATAGATTTCGACCAACAGGTTGGCATAATACTGTATTCAAAACACATTTGTAGTAGCTTGTGAATCACATTTAATAAAGCATTACATTTCAGCACTTCATTGGGAATATTTTCAATACCTGTGGCTTTATTAACTTTAAGACCTTGAATTGCATGTTGCACTTCTTCTAAAGAGATTGGGTTGTTTAAGTCGCCATGGTTAATAGCCTGATCATTAACTTCATTATCAGAACGTGTATCTGCGTTTATCGAGTTAAGTTGCTCTTCCCAGCGGTTAACTAAGTCCATGCATTCGTTTAAGAACATGTCATCATAGTCACCATTGTTTTTGTTAAAAAGGGATTCGAAGTCAGATTTCCATTTATTGAGGACCTGGTCTACATCACTGATCTTTTCACCATCCACCAGTATTTCCATTGGTATATCAGTTTTATTTTTCCCCGGTCCAAGTTTATTTATTTCATCCCACATTGTTTTGGGGTTACTAGTTTCAAATTTCTGTATGTTATTTCGTGTTTCGTAGTCATATTTACGTTTATACTGTCTATACTTCTTGTCAAACAGTTTTTGTTTGCTTTTAAATATATCTCGTATGTGTGTTTTTTCACGATTGGAACCTTTATGCTTGATGTATTGCTTTTCATGCATACAAGCGTCCTTCCAGAGTGATTCAAGTTCTTCATTCCACCAGGGCTTTGGCCGGAACTTAGATTTCCTAGTCGTGCTTGTTTTAATGTCTTTAAATTTTAATTTAGAGTCCATTTCTGTATGTAAAATTGAAACAAATTCTTCATAAATATTGTCAATTTCACTTTGGCATTTAAGAGATGTCTCCATGCGATCACAGACACGGGCAATTGACCGAGCAACTCCTTCGCTAGTAAACATATCTATGGGAATTGTATATTAGAATAGAATCATTGGTTACTCATTCCACCATCTCTCAAGTATAAGTAACTTGAAATATTTAAGGAATATATAAAACAATGTCTTAAGTGAATGTTCACATTAAAGGCCCACTTTGCATATTTTCTGAATGTTCACATTAAAGGCCCACTTTGCGTATTTTCAACGTTCTTTTGGCAAAATAAAGACTTACATTTGAATTTCATAGAATGTCAAATAATTTTTTTTTTTTAATTAATTTATTAACATTGAAACATTTATACAATTTTTACATAATATACAATGGTTACATTGGTACTTATACAGGAATTCAGAACTTATTGGTTATAGATTTTACTATTTCTAATTTTCCAAATTTCAAACTTGTGTTTAAACACTAGCTGGTTTCTATGGCATTTGCTCTCGAAATCTCCTTCATTGCTATAAAATAAAATTTCTTGTTCAGAAAACTTTAAATTTTGAGTATTTACATATTCCTTTGCATTCGTACAATTGACAAATATTGTTTATTTATTGTTTATTGTTTCTTTTATTCCCGAAAATTCCCGTCCATCCATCCGGGCAATAACTCAAATACCGTTGGCCCGATTTTGTTCATATTTTGTACGCATATACCCTATGGGGGTAGAAGCCCGGAGCCGGAGCAACAAACATAATAATTACAATTATACAGTTACTTTATACAATAGAGAATAATCATGAAATGTAAGAATAATATTTACATGAAATAGTGCTGCACAAATTGCAGCTTATTTGCAACAGTTAGTAAAAAATTACAAAATGTGTCATCATCTAATTGTTGGAGAACATCTGCCTGACTTCCTAGTATGGCATCAATAAAAACATGTGTGTCAGCAGAAAACAGCTTGACACCAGTATCTATGTCTAAAATTGAGACTAGTAAATTAAAAAGTTCGTCTCTCTCACAGATAATTCTGGTATTTTGGCAATGCAATAGGTAATGCACGATTATGAACTCATTGGTAATAATAATGGGGTCACATATTTTACACTTCTTTTCATATACATTAGGTAAGGATAAATGAATGAGATTGCCTAAATTCCAAGTGCATTTTGGGAATTGTCTACCCAATTCCCACATTATGCTTGGGCTGAGGTTTGTATGGACGTTACGAAAATATTGTAAAGAGACATTCTGTTGGCAGCTTTCTTGCCATTTTTTCTCCTCAAAAATATGAATTTGGGATCTGAGAAATCCGTTTGAGCAAACTGCTCAGACCAATACTCTTCTGATTTGGATTCTGTTTTGCACATTTATTTTCTGTACAGGAATACAATTAAAATATATTTTGCTTTCACTGTTTTTTAATGACTCAACCTTAATTCTGTCTAACTTGTTAAAAACTCCTTTGAGTAAATTGTATTGAAGAAAAGTCTGGCCATTAAAACCTACTTTTTGCCCAATTTGATCATAGCTTAATAGTTCATTGTTTACATTACATACATCATTTATTTTATAAACACCTTTTTGATGCCAGTTATCAAAATATAAAGGATTGTTCTTGTACAACAAGTCTTTGTTATTTGATATATATGGACTACTTTTAACTGAATTATACATAATCCATGTTTTCAACACATCTGTCCAAAATGAGGACTTAATTCTATCTAGTCCTTTTACATGATTAAATTCAACATTAGACAGTAAAATAGAAAAATCTTTACAAAATTTGTCAATAAGATAGGTTGGTAGCTTTTTCCAGTTTGCTTTGTTTCTATCAAGTAGAAGTTTAATCCATTTAATTGCAAAAGCATCTTGAAAATGTTTCACATCTATCATATTTAGACCTCCCTTTGCATTGCCTTGTATCAATATATTTCTTTTTAATACATTCTACAACACCTTTTACATCTTCTTCTTTATACACACCTTTGTTACCTGACCAGATATATTTAAAAAACAAACTATTTATCCGTTTAATAATCTTATCTGACAAAATAAAACTTTGCATAATGTATCCAAATTGTGAGAGCATTAGTGATTTTACGAGAGTAATTTTACCAAACATGGTTAAACATCTACCTGCCCATCTTTTCATTATTTCTTCACATTTCTTGAATTTACAGTCAATATTCTCATCTAATTCAACCACCTTATTGGTTGTGCAAAATGTTACGCCTAATATTTTAATCCTATTATTTGGGAAAATATTCCATTTGATGTTTACTGGTTTTTCAACACAAATTTTTTTATTGCCTAACCATATTGCTTCTGAATTCTGAATGTCAAATAAGAACCCTATCTTTCATTTGACACCAACAACAGCTCAAATGGACCACATCTAAGCTTACAATAAATTATGAAAAAATATTTTCGATATGCCAAGCTTTCTTTATCAAGTTTTTATCAATGTCATTGAAAGATAGCAAAGTTGTTTGTATTACATGATACATTCATTTTTATAGAAGTGTCGCCATCTTTTAAATCAACAGTAATTTAAGACATGTACTTTGTTCAACATGTGCATGCACTTTTAATTATCTCTGAACTTCAAATGCTTTTTTCTTTGTGAGTTATTTTTTTCTAGGCTCAATATTAAAGCAAATCAAACTTTGTGTCATATTTGAGCGAGTGTGTAACATGTTTCAATGATTATTTTTTTAACTAATGTATACATGTTCTAATATCTACTACATGTTGTATACATGTTCTTATATATACTTCATGTTCTTATATGTACTACATGTTGTATACATGTTCTTATATGTACTACATGCTGTATACATGTTCTTATATGTACTACATGTTGTATACATGTTCATGTTCTTATATGTACTACATGTTGTATACATGTTCTTATATGTACTACATGCTGTATACATGTTCTTATATGTACTACATGCTGTATACATGTTCTTTTATGTACTACATGCTGTATACATGTTCATGTTCTTATATGTACTACATGTTGTATACATGTTCTTATATGTACTACATGCTGTATACATGTTCTTATATGTACTACATGCTGTATACATGTTCTTTTATGTACTACATGTTCTTATGTGTAGTTACATGTATACATGTTCGTATATGTACTACATGCTGTATGCATGTTCTTATATTTGATTATTGTTTTCAGATGATCAGCATCCTCATACAACTGCCAGTATATAGTCGTCTGGAAAGGCCAAGGTAACAGGAGATACCCATGACAATGTTAATAATACATACTACATGTACGCATGTTCTAATATTTGATTATTGTTTGCAGATGATCAGCATGAAACTGCGTAAACCTCATACAACTGCCAGTATATGGTCGTCGGGAAAGGCCACGGTAACAGGAGCCAGTAGGTAAGATGGATCACAATCATGATGTTCATAATGTTAATGACATGTACTGTTTGGCATCCCTGTAGAATTGAAATATTCGGTTGTGAATTATGAAGTTTATTACTAACAAGTTTTTATACATATCTTATTTATTCAATATATCTAGCATAGTACTACACGATGAAATTTTAAGGTGGTCAACACCAAAGAATGTAATATGTTTATCAAAAAATTAAAGGAGTGGTATCGATATGGAGAACTGAATTCAACAATGTTTTTCTCTTAAACCAATCATTGAAAACATTCTGTAAAAAAACACGGTATTTTATGTAATGTTGACTGATTGACAACAATTTAATGCGAAAATTATGTAGAAATATTTTATATAACTGTTTTTGTTAACATTTTTTGTTTTTTTAGTGCAATTGTTTTTGCTCCTTTCTACCAATTCTTGAGAATGAAATAAAATGTCTTTCCAAACCTTGTTGGAACAAAATAGCATATACAACATGTTTTTAGATCTCTCAATATTATAGTAATGCAAAGGAATTTTTGGTTGATTTTCAAAAAATATTCAAAAAACTAAAGCAAAATCCCCTCAAAATAGATAAAAATCAAGATAAACCTTTTATTTCATTAACAAGATACTTTTTTAAAATCAACCAATATTTCCTTTGTACAATTACAATATTGAGAGACCTAAACATGTTGTGTTTATGTCGTTTTGTTCCAATGAGGTTCGGAAAGATGTTTCATTTCACTCTTGAAACGTGATACCAAGAACAGATCAAGTGTTCGATGTGTTTTCTAAAACAATATAGATGAAAGTATATACACCCGTATATATTATTCAAATTATATTGTTACCATTCAAAAGATGACCATTAAATTGACGATGTGTTAAATTTTTAGATTTTTTATGACTATTTTGAGAGAAACGTGTGTTCAAAAAGTTCTCCATATCGACATTTTCATTCAAATGTATCTCATTTTTGTGCAGCGAGGAGGATTCTCATAAAGCCGCAAGGAGAGTTGCACGAATCTTACAAAAGATGGGGTACTCAGTCAAGTTCTGTCGCTTTAAAGTTGTCAATGTACTGGGGACGTGCACGATGCCATTTGCAATACGCATCACAGCTTTCTCTCGGGACCATAGGGAAGATGCAAGGTCAGTGACCATCATCAATTTGACGTGCAGACTCTCTTATTATCTTATTAGATGAGTTTATTACAAAATTTCCCCAAAATAAAGATCCACTTTGATCCAATGACTTTTATTTCAGTAAAAGAATTGTTGTTATAGAAAAATTATATGCTACATTTAGTTTTTATGATCTTGTGAATGTTATTCAGTCCTTGATCTCTACAGTAAAACCTGTGTTTATTGAACATTTTTCTGTTAAGAAAAAAAACGTTCAGTGTTGGTAGGTAGGTGTACACTACAGAGCAGGCAATTTATACAGAAGTCAGTAGAATTGTTTAAAGGAAGGGTGTCCACTTGAGACAGTTGTTCACAAAAGACAGTTGTTCACTAAGACATGTTTTACTGAATTTATCCAGCCCATATAATATCGTAGAGATGATATACATGTAGAATATTAAGATATCAAATAGACATACATTAAAACATGTCAATCGGAACACCTCTATATTATAAACACCTCTCAATGTGAAGACTTTTTCCTCTCCCGATTGCATAATCCCCATTGAATCCCATGTCTATTACCCAACAATAAGATTTTGATGTAATAAATAACATGAAATTTCAGTTATGAACCAGAACTCCACCCAGGTGTAACATATAAGATAAAATCTCCAAAGGCTACACTGAAGATATTCTCCACAGGCAGTATTACTATTACAGGTACTATAATGCTTGATCAAAATGTGTTAATTTGTCAAAAATGGCGAAAAGCTGCTCAATGGGCCTTGCCAAAATTAATTTTGCCTCACAGAGTCTGCTTGGAAAATTCAAATGTAAAAATTGTTAACAATTCATCATGATATTCACTAATATATTATTTCCCTATTACACAATGACAAATGCTATTACATTATACAAATAGTGACTGCCATTGAGGGAAATAGTGTAAATTATTTCCCCGAGGGGAATATCCTCTACAATGTACTATTCCCGAAGCCGCAGGCTGAGGGAATAGTACATTGTAGAGGATATTCCCAAGGGGAAATCATTTACACTATTGCTCGAAATTAGGCAGTCACCATTTGTTTTATTATATACCCTATACTGACTCTTGTCCCGTTTCCTCTGCGAAGGCCAAAAAGGCTTAGAAAGTCCCCTCCCCGGGTCTATTGTTAGCATTATAAGCTGTGACGTCATCAGATGCTCAACAGAAATTTTTGCCTCTGAGACTCTCACTTGACAAATTCAATCGCGTTTAACACGCGGAATAGATTATCATAACACTTGAAATTACACAGACGTATTGAGCTTAGGGAACTTTATACACGTTGCTTATATTATATCGTTCACGCACGTCTGTCATGGTGAACGAAGTTAATTTGTGTTTGTGCTCATCCTCCATTTTTCTGTTTTTCGTCTGCGCAGTGATGATGCGCAGACGTTTCCAAGGGTAATAGAACTTGCAATTGTGACGTCAGCGGGCAATAGTTCAAATGTATATTCCCGCTGACGTCACATTTGAGGGAATATAACTTTCCGAGGGAAATAGTAAATCTATTTCGGAACACGTGACTAGGTATTGACCAATCAGGATTAGTGTTACATATTGGGTATATAATAATACTGTATATTAACATTACAGGACTTATCATGTTGTAAATACAATCTGTTTGTGTTGATGTGTTACCATGACATCATCAATTCACATGCATCATCGATCATTTTAAATTATTGTAAATTTCAACTTTACACAGATTTTAAACCTTCAACTATCTAATGACATTTTTGTTCTCCATAGTACTGTTAAAATATTGATCAGGTTGAATGTTTATATCAATGTATTGTAGATCTATATGAGATACCTAATAGGCTCATTAGTAAGTAAGATGGCCTCACAAGGTTTAATAATTAAATTTCTTTAATGTGCTTGAGAAGACTTCCAGAATCTGTGTGAAAATATTGTTAACATATTATCTTACATGGGTCAATCCCATTGCTTCAAATTTTGAGTAAATCTGTATCCTGTAAATCCTGTGTTTTTCCAGCACCAAGTGTAAGCAATGTGCAGTCAGCAGTTGAGCATATATTCCCGTTAGTTTACAATTATCAAATGGACAAGAAGTCTGTTCCTAAAGCAGAAATACAGAAAGTTGAAACTCACATGTTCGCTGCCAAACCCAAAAAATCTGCCGGATATATTTCTAACAAAGCAAAGGAGGCATATCAGAAATACCTCAACGAAGATAGTGATGATGAAGACATTGATGAAGATGAGGCTGAGATTGACTCGGATGATGATTTTGATAGTGATAGTTCATAAGAGTGATATCTTTCTGAAATGTGTTATGTTTTTGTTATAAAGATGTATTCTTTACTGTAAGCATTAGATAAGGTCACAAAAAGTGGGACTTCATTTTATAGAGGCACCTGTATAAACCTGGAGTTTGTAAAGTTGTACATGTGAAATGCATAGATATGTTCTTAGTATCCTAATGTATGTATGTGATGAATATTGGATACGTATCCAATATTGGGAATTTGTTATGTATCTATTGGATAACCTCTTATTGTATGGTTAATGGCTACATGAACAACATATCCAATGGATGTCATGCATCAACTGGATGAATGGGCAAAAGCTACATGTAATGCACTAGACGAGGCTAATGCAGCATTTATTGAGAAGAATCCACAATTCAGAGATAATTCATCTGTTTTGAAAGATACGTTGATGTACAAAATGAGCCATTTTTGATTTAAGAGCCCCATTCTCAATCATGCATAATAAATGCGAAACATAGAATTTAATAACTTTAGCCAAATATCAATAAAAGGTCACCGAGTTGTTCCATTAGAAATCAGGCTGATCATTAGCTCATGTGACGACAAGTGATTGCACCCATTTTTCTATCTGTCCATCCATCAAAAATCAGCTGTTAATAATGCCAGGTTTGAAAAAATCTCAAACTTCTTTTTTAATTTTTTTGCTCATTATCATCAAGTATGTTGAAAATTGTTCAAAATATAGCCATCAACTGGAATTACTACACAATGGTAGCATGGTACCTTTGGTACTATTTATTCATTATTTGTTTTCCTGTTGCTAAGGAGATTGTTGATAGGAACAGGGACACTGCATGAAGGATGTGTTCACTTATCTTGATTTGATCCTCAGCAGTCATTAGTTAGTTTTATATTTGGAAGTCAATGCAAGAGTAAGTGGCAATATAGTTAGAATTTAGCATATGTGCCACAAGTAGTAAGTTTAGAAATATTTATTTGGGCTACATTTATAATTACATTGTAATCAGATTTCAATAAACCTTTCCAATTAACCCTGCCACCTTTTGGTAAATCAAAGAAACTTGGATATATTGGCCATATTGATGATGTCATTGTTGGTTGTAGGTAGCAATCCATCCAAGCAAAAGTAGGATAAGCCTATTGCTTTAGTTAAAGAACAACCAATGACATCATCGATCTAGCATTATATCCTAGCTTCTTTGATGTACCAAAAGGTGCCAAGTTTTATTGGAAAGGTCGATTCCATTGGTTTCTTTAATAATTGCTTATTTTCAATTGTTAAATCGAAACGTTATGAAGTATTCAATTTCAAATATTTTCATGTTTATGATTAGATGAGCTATCAAGTTCTGATTTATCGTTGTGAATCATGAATATGATGTTATTATATTTGTGTTTTCATGTATTAGATATTAGTTCAGCTGTTATGCATGAGTTTGCTTTGAAATCATTGACTTGGGGTTTGTGAAAATCAGAGTATTGAACTCATCATTTGTTTTTACATGTATGGAAAGGGAATTGTAATCATATTAATATTAAGCTAGGGGTGCCACTGTACTTAACCCTTCCGTAAAAATACTCCGGGACTGAATATATTGAAGAACATATGTTTCAGCCAAAATTCATTTGAATTCGATAAAAATGAAAAATATTCTGGGAAAAAAATAGGGTCCCCTTGGTGATGTAATGGTCAGTCCCTAATCAAGAAAATGTTCAGAGCTTATTGGCTTCATAGAAGAGTTAATTATGGTTATCATGACAATTCCCTAAAAATGCTGAAAACCAGCTGGGTGGTCCATTAAGATGTACAGGTGACCAAAAAACAGAACCAACCGAAATTGTAATTATTTTAAGTCGATTGGATATACATGTACAGGTACCTGACCATGTAAAGAAAGATATTTTTAAAAGTTTTTGACAGTTTAACTTCTTAGGTTTCTGGTTGATTCCATATATATTATAAAAACATTATTAAATTTTTTTGCAGTTTGTTTTTTTGGCGTCAAACTTTTGTTGCATCCTAGTTTGGGATTAAAACCTATGTGATTAAGTTACTTTATCTGTACTACATATGTGTTTTACTATCTATATGCTAGTTATGCTAATGTGTTACACATTTATGTTATGGTGCCTATAATGAATTAGAATTAAGTATAAAATGCATAACATACTCATTTTTGTAAGGGGATTATATTATTTGTGGAAGCAGAAAAAAAGTAATAGAAGATGTACTTTTGTTCATTAAAATAAATCACTGAAGAAGACAAAATGAAAAGTTGTTTGATCTTTGCATATGCATAATATAATAATTATGTGTGTATATATCCTCAACAAACCATATGATGAAGTTAATGCTGAAGTAATTGAATTGAAACATTCGGTTCATCCCAGTTTGTAGCAACTACTTCTGTAGTAGCTATCGTACATATTTTTCAATATTATTGTTCTATATCCATGATTTTACAGAATTTCACTTGACTGTTCAGACTTATTTCTATTGCTTCGTTTGAAGAGGTCCTACAACATGTACAATGCATCATTACAATGCATAAAAAAGAACAATCAAATTGAAAAATTCCCGGGAGCGGGATGGATATATTATATTTGCCCGCATTTGGCCTGGAGCGGGACATATACAATATATCCTGCACCCTCCTCAGATATGATATATATTCCTGGGTGATATCTACCCCAAACCCACTCAAGTATGAGATTCAAAGCTATATTCTGCCCTCTTCAGTTCAAATCAGGACATGGATAATACAAGAACACAAATGTGTACAAAATGTCCCCACCTATGGGTGATCCCGTCAAATGGTTATCCTAAAAATGAGTAGACAAGACTTTACCGACACAATTTGAGGACAAAATATCCAAAATGGCCACCATAGAATTTACCCAGAATGCCCAAAAATTTGTCAGTTCTAGATTTTCATACTAAGAACCACCCCTGAAAATTTGAAATTGATCCCTCACACAGTTAACCAGAAAACATGTAAACAAGACTTTACAAACAAGATTTTAGGACGGAAAATCCAAAATGGCTGCCTTGACATTTATCCAGAATGCCAAAAAACTAATCTCTTCTAGATTTTCATACTAAGAATCATCCCTGAAAATTTGAAATTGATCTACCAAACGGTTCACCTGGAAATGCGTAGACAAAACTTAACAGACAAGATTTTAGGACAGAAAATCCAAAATGGCTAGAATCATCCCTGAAAATTTGAAATTGATCTACCAAACGGTTCACCTGAAAACGCGTAGACAAGACTTTACAGACAAGATTTTAGGACGGAAAATCCAAAATGGCTGCCTTGACATTTACCCAGAATGCCCAAAAACTAATCAGATCTAGATTGTCATACTAAGAATCATCCCTGAAAATTTGAAATTGATCTACCAAACGGTTCACCTGAAAACGCGTAGACAAGACTTTACAGACAAGATTTTAGGACAGAAAAATCCAAAATGGCAGACAATAAAAAAGTGATTATGAGTTTTTGCTGATTTCTTTTTACAAAATTATCACATATAACTACTGTTAACAATAACTAAGGCTTTTACGACAAAGTACACCTGAAATTATTTATAAATTAAAAGCTACTAAATAGTTAAAGTATGAAAACTGAAAAACACCATTCAATATGATACAAAGTATTATCGCGCGCTAACTTTTCTTAAAACATTCAAAATGGCTGACATGACTGAGCTAACAGGTCCAAAACTTTATCAGATGTAGAATGAAGTGAGCTGAACAAGATATTAAAGTTTCAAAAGCAACTGTGAAGCCGTTTTTCTTAAAGTTTGCAGACAAGGATTTTAGCATTTGACTTCAAAATGGCCGACAGGAAGTAGGTATCGAGTTAAATTTTTTTCATCCACATCTAGATGCACTCATAAGTTATCCCTGAAAAGGTACAGTCTTATTGGGATCCCTTAAGGACTTAGAAAATTTCATGAAAACGCAATTATAGATTTTTGAAAAAAAAAGTTCAAAATATTCTTGACTGATATGTGTATTTTCATTTTCTTGAAAAATGTAGTGAATATTTTTGTAAAAAATATGATTTCTGGCCCATTCTTGTAACCACTCCCATCATGGCAGATTATTTGTGAAATTTAGTGTTCTTTAGAAAATGTAGTAAATAAAGCCTTAAAACAATTTTCAAGTATTATTCAAGTGAATGATGCATAATTTAATCCCTACTGAAATGTATCCAGCAGATTTATGTGTGATATGTGGCATAAAAAGGGAGTATAATCCAGACCCCCATTATTTACCATTCTCAATTGAATAGAACCATGGTTCATTGAATGGACATATTCACTGTGAGCTATGTTCTCCACCACTTTTATTTTTAGCTGTGTAGATCTAAAATTGAATTAGGCAACATTTTCAGTTGCAAAAAAGTGGTGGAGAACATAGCTCATATAGTTTTTTGGACTTCTTTGGTATTTTTTCTAAAACATTTCTGCCACCATTTTGGATACAATGCCACCTATTTGGGAGTTGCCAGACATGAAGGCTATCAATTTTCAAAAGATTTCCTAGGTGACTCTCTCCATGATGCCAAAGACTTGCCTTTATCCGAGGATAGTGATACTGACATGGAATAGTTTTAAAATAACTAAAATATCTGTTAGGGGTTGGGTCAAAATATCGATGTCAAGAAAAGGGTAATTAATTTCATTAGGGGGAGGGGGTCAAACACTGATTTCATTAGGTGACAGACATCGATTTTCGTTTTCCTAGGAATTTCAATTTTCAAGATTTGGGGTTTTGTTACAAGGGGGAGGGGGGTGGTTTAGACCTAAATAAATAAATTACGTTTTTTTGATGGACATCGATATTTTGACCCGACCCCTTAGAAACTGTACATTCAACTTTCAGCAACTGTACCTATTGGTACCCATAGAAATTTTTTAATACTATCAAAGCTTTAGAATATTAATATCAAATATATTACACTACAATATTTTGACAGTATACCATTTTGACTAAAAAATTTTCAAACATTTTCCTTGCGTTAAGTATGGTGTAGATACTACTCAAAGGCTATCAAGATACCTATTCCCCATGGAAATAAATGTTAAGTCAGGTTTAACTCATGATTTTATTTTATTTAGGTATGTTTAAGGAAATTAATTGATCATTAGATTGATTTTACCAACTTGACCCTTTTGCACCCAGTGACCTCATTGGCTCATCATTTGACCTAATTTTGAAATATTACTGTGAAGTACATTTGTGAGGATACTCTTGATGCAAAATAAGTTTGATTCTGATGGGGGCAGAAAAGGGGGTCTGTTGGGACGGTACCTTTGAAGGTGATATCTGAAGCCGTTTTGGAGAAAACTGCCGGACGTACGGACGTACGGACAGACGTGCCTAGGCCGACAATATGGCCCCACACTATGTGGTGGGGACATAAAAAAGATCATAAAGTAGCAGTTTGGAAGTGTTAGTGGTTTTGGATTTAAGTATTACATTTTATGCATAGGATATTCTTTTCCCCTCCATAAAAATGCATAAAAGAAACACACTGGCTTCATGGAAGAATTCAAAAGTCTTTTTTGTATATCTTATATTTCTATTTACATTTTAATCATGTTAAAAGAGTATATATAAAATAAATTGCAATACAACAAATTTTTTAATTACTTGAATGTCAATGAAATTACATGTACTTTATCAAGAGACAAAAATACAATTTTTTAATATATAATTTTGAATAATCATTAACTTCATTTTGTGAAGATTAAACATTTGATTCTACCATGTTGAAGAGTCATAAATTAAACCATTTAAAACATTAATCCATATTAAGGTCAGTACACTTTTTAATAATGATCACAAAATCAATACTGTTCTATCCCAGATTACAATGGAGTAAATTAACTAAAATATGCAATCATGTAAAATAAGATGGCTTCAATTGTACTTATTATTTACATGTAAGACAATGTCATAGAAATTGGTCCCTTTATTTTTGTATTCCATTGAATAACTGTAAATATATCAGATATATGGAAATGAGTTCTGTCTGGTCCATATAATACAACAATATATGCATGTACATTTCCCTAAATAAAATATGTACATGTAGGATATACAAGAAAATATATACATTTAGTAAAACTACTTCTATACTTTAACAACAGTTATACTCAGTTTGACAATGGCCCTCTTTATTTATGAAAATATTGAACTTCACAATAGTTTGCACTATGTTACTTATTAATGTTTAAGAATGAATAAATATGAATACAATAAAAGAAACTGATAGGGATGTTTGACTATATACAATTTTTCTTATTTACAAGTCCACTTGACATTAAAACACATTAATGTGAACACAAGTGAATTACTTATGTGAAAACCTCAAGTGAATTACTTATGTGAAAACCCCAAATGATTTACTTATGTGAACACCTCAAGTGAATTACTTATGTGAACAACTCAAGTGAATTACTTATGTGAAAACCTCGAATGAATTACTTATGTGAACACCTCAAGTGAATTACTTATGTGAAAACCTCAAATGAATTACTTATGTGAACACCTCAAATGAATTACTTTTATGTGAACACCTCAAATGAATTACTTATGTGAAAACCTCAAGTGAATTACTTATGTGAACAGCTCAAGAGAATTACTTATGTGAAAACCTCAAATGAATTACATATGTGAAAACCTCAAATGAATTACTTATGTGAACACCTCAAATGAATTACTTATGTGAAAACCTCAAGTGAATTACTTATGTGAACACCTCAAGTGAATTACTTATGTGAAAACATCACATGAATTACTTATGTTAAAACCTCAAATGAATTACTTATGTGAACACCTCAAATGAATTACTTATGTGAAAACCTCAAGTGAATTACTTATGTGAACACCTCAAGTGAATTACTTATGTGAAAACATCATGTGAATTACTTATGTGAACACAAGTGAATTACTTATGTGAAAACCTCAAGTGAATTACTTATGTGAAAACCCCAAATGAATTACTTATGTGAAAACCTCAAGTGAATTACTTATGTGAACACAAGTGAATTACTTATGTGAAAACCTCAAGTGAATTACTTATGTGAAAACCCCAAATGAATTACTTATGTGAAAACCTCAAGTGAATTACTTATGTGAACACCTCAAGTGAATTACTTATGTGAAAACATCATGTGAATTACTTATGTGAACACCTCAAATGAATTACTTATGTGAACACCTCAAATGAATTACTTATGTGAACACAAGTGAATTACTTATGTGAAAACCTCAAGTGAATTACTTATGTGAAAACCCCAAATGAATTACTTATGTGAAAACCTCAAGTGAATTACTTATGTGAACACCTCAAGTGAATTACTTATGTGAAAACATCATGTGAATTACTTATGTGAACACCTCAAATGAATTACTTATGTGAACACCTCAAATGAATTACTTATGTGAACACCTCAAATGAATTACTTATGTGAACACCTCAAGGGAATTACTTATGTGAACACCTCAAGTTAATAACTTATGTGAACACCTAACTAAAACATAAAGACCTTATAATTTCAGTTCCATATTTGGATGGTTCCCATGTTATGAGGACATGTGAACAAGTGAATAACCTATTGACATGTTAGCATGTGATGGTGAATAACCTCTTAACATTAAAACTTAGGGGCGAACCATGTGACTCTCATTACATACTTTCAACTCTTAAACACTAAATTGAACATATCAACATTAAATAATTTACAAGAGGTGTTCATGAGGTTCTCATATCAAGATTCAAGAGATAATGTTGGAACTTTATGAACACCCCTCATAAATTTAACATTTCACAACAAAAATAAAGTACATAAAAACTTGTATGTTGATATTTTAAAATAAACATGATACACTGATTAAGATATTAAACTGATTAAAAAGTGTAAATGTATATATCAAATTAAAACTATCCTCAACAAAAGTACTATATATACTAAAACTGTCATAGAAAATAGTAGAATGGTGAAAATATAGCTACCTACTAGCAATACTTTCTCTATTGACACCAATAACAATATATTGAGCCACTGCCTATTAAATCAAAAATATTCCTTCTCAGAACATCACTTTATCATAGATATTTTTATATGGATACAATTGAATTAGCAACTTCTTACTAGAGTGACTTAAATTCATAGAACAATATTTTGAACAGTTGAGTAAGTGGAGCACCTACTATATCTCAAAAAAAGTGTTCCACTTTGGAGGTGGATCACTTATACATTATGTAACATCAACAGAACTGAAAGGTGTTTAACTTATGAAGGTGTTCCACTCATGGAGATATTCCACTTCCACATGTGTTCAATAATACAGGTTTCACTGTATATAAGATACAAGTTGGTGAATCCACAAACTGCTTCAGGCGCGTCTTTTTGGTTTATTTCAGAAATCCAATGATGCAATTACTTTTAAATCAAAGTATTCAAGACCATACTCAAAACTGCTCCCTTAGCTAAATATGAAAGGATCCTTTGCATATGTTATAAATGTAACGACCCAAGCACGCTCATCCAGGGAGCTGTAGTGTAACAAGTGGACAAGTGCGCTCAGGTCATTGCATATATCAACGTTGATGTACTTCACATCTCATTCTGGGTCTTTGTGCTGGTCCCATATATATCTACATTGTGATTAGCTGACTATATGCTCAGCCATAGAATTATATATTTGGAGAATGGCATTATTAATCTTGAGACATCCTATGATTTTCCATTAGACATGGACTTGAAGTCCTTTGAATGAGGCGATGAAATACCAAGAAATCTTATAATTGTTCAGAGAAGAATTCGCATCTCTTTCATTGCTACTGGTATTGGTCCCCCACCTTAAATGGAATTTGAGTTATTTTGTCTACACAAGTTTTGGTATTTGTAGGCTGACATCTCGGAAATATCGATGACTCAGCGCTGCTTTGGCAGAGACTCTACTACTTGGCTCATAAATTAGCATTTTCTGAAAATAATATGAATAAATGTATTAACATAATCTATTGTATTGAGATCAGACCTCAAAGTTTTATGCCAATGACTTTAAATGTCTTATCTGCATTTTTAGAGAACTTTGGTTAATGTTGAAATAATTTTCTTAACAACTAAATTTTCAAATTCATTTTCTGAAGAACTTACTGATAGCAAATCATGTCCATCCTCATCCATGGTTGGGACCAGTTTATGCACTTCTTGGGCTTCCCACTTGGGGAAGGTTGACTTGTAGTCAGGGAGTTGTGATACACCTGGCCAGACGCTCTCATCAGGAGTACCTACATAGGATCAATTAATACTATAGACCTTTTTTAAATATATTCAAATTGAATGTTTTTAGTGATAAAATAATTGTTTTATCATCATATATAGGCCTATGTCTCAAATCACCTTCCAACATTAGAACAGTTAAAATCTAAGTTTAAATAAATCAATAAAAAATATACAATTCCACAGTGGTGTAATTTTAGGTAGCCTGATTGGACCATGTGCATTTGAACAGTTACTTACAAAGTGCCTTTTTTCAGCTAAATAACCTGTTTTCAATTCATCTTCAGCTCATCTTTAACACTAACACCACAGTTTCATTCTGCACATTTAGTTTTAAGATAAACTAGTACAGATACTGTACTTAGAATTTAATTAGAGGGCAGATTAAAAAAAAATTATCAATCTTAACCTAACCTATTATGAACTAAACTAAATGTTTCGAATATGTACTCACCCAGTGTTCGAAAAATACGGAAGAGTTCATCTATTTCTGAATCGCCTGGGAACAGAGGTCTCCTTGTTATCTGCAACAACATGTAAAATATATGAGTTATTATTTGTTAATTTTAGGGACTAAAAAGAATAAAGAACTTTTACAGGTATCTTAGATGTATGTGTCAATAAGCCCTTACTGGGGCCAACTGCTCAGGTAATAAATATTAAGCAATGGTGGAACTCAAAGTTCCTTCTTGTATGTATTAAAAATAAAGGAAGAGGCTCGATAGAGAGAGCTTTTTAGATCGGTATAAGTTTTTTATTTTCTACACGATCATTATGGAATTTTCAGACAATATCGGAGGTGTGATGAATTTTTATATTCTAAAATATTATTGTTGAATTATGAAAAACGCATTTTGTAGAACTTTTTTGGCGAAGCGATGAAATTCCATCTTTTGTACATCCATATTTTGTACCGTTTTTCAGTGCGTAAATAGAATGACTTAACGTTTTTTAAGCAGCAAAATAACATATATCGTAACCACATAATAAAGCAAAGTCTTATTTTCTGTAAAGAAATCGTGATTCGATCCATGAGAAGTATGTCTTAAAATTGATGAGAAAAATGGTTTCATTTTTTCAATATTTTTGAGCGATCTCTTTAGTAGAATTTTACTTGTGTTAGATAGAGGTCGTCTCGCAAAACCATTATGTGCAATTTTCGCTTAAAATTGATTATTTTTGGAAATGATTCACTCGACGAAAATTAGATGTCGTCTATGGATGGTCTATTTTTCTTGAGTAATTCCAAGGCCGAGAGAAATAGCCCAAACGTACCGCGTTCGTAATTTCAATGTTTTCTGCGTTCGGCCTTTTATCGTAAACTGTTCTATCATCAATGAAAAAGAAGGGTGCGCGAACTTTGAATTTATTCAGTGTGGGGGTTACCCTTCCCCCTTTTGACATGAAGGCCAGAGCTGAATATGACAGCACATGTTAATGAATGATTGGTAAGTGAAAACAATCTATCTTTATAACGGAATATATTCCCTATAGTTAAGTGTATTTCTGGTCACGAAACGTTAATAAATACTAGATATAGTAACAGTAACCAATGGGGTCTTCTCATCTGCATAATCAAGTCACCTTATATCGCACTATTAGAGCTGGGTAACTGGTAAGCAGAAAACACAATCGCCACTTCAAGTACATTTCACTGTTTTTTCTTGCGCTTTTTTCTTAGCTCTCATTTATGTATCATACGTTTAGTCAATCAATTTTGTAGCTAACGATTTGAACGGATTGCAATGAAATGACCTTTATGCGGTCTGGCTACGTACGGCCTGTTGATTTCTACGGGGAACGCAGAAATTAACAAATATTGTAACCCCGAGTTATAAAATCTACGGCTTCCCTTCACTGATATAATTGATCTGCGCTCTACTTACGGCCGCTGTGCGACAAATGTGACTGGGGAGTAAATTGATCTGCGGTTGGCGTAGTCGCCTTTCAAGTTAAGTATTGAGATTTCTATTCTAACCTTCACTTAAGAAACATAACATTAACTAGGATGTGGCTCTGCGGCTGCTGCAGAAAAACCGAGTGTATTATTTACATACAATAATGTTATCGTATAGCCTATACATGCTGGTTGCCAAAATATGGCTCTGCGGCTGCGTCGCCGCTGGACAATATACAAAAATGTTTATAATGGACAATTGATAGGCTTTCTCGATAATGTAGTAATAACAAATCTCATTTCAAAATTAAAAACTTTCCGACCACCTGTAAAACCTTTTCTATCTTTAGCATCACAAACTCATTAATGCCCATTATTATTCTGTTGAGAACATGATGCTAAAAATCTTTGAAATCCTCAACAATTGAGGTTATAAGGAAAAAGGTTTGTCCGAAAATTTTTCATAAACATTTTAAAGACATAGACTTAGTTTATCTCGCCGCTTAGAGCCGAAGTGATCTTATTCACTAATACATACACCGTTCACTCAGTAATACTGCATTTACAATTACCGTTCTATTTTCATAACGTTAAACGACCAAATAGAAATCATTTTCTTGCTAATTCGTACTACGTGACTCAAACGCAATAAAATACATTTCTTGTATAGTGATAAGACCTGATACATTTCAATTTATTTTAGTATTCCCACGATTTGTTATGGGGTAATGATCATAGATGAATTTTATTTGTAATTATGATGGCTTGTTTTTAGTCGAGTTACAGCACTAGTACTTCCATTGACTGACTTGTTTAAACTAACACTTCTCCCTACAATGTACAACAGTTTTTAATGCATGTAGGCATACACCCATTGCAAGCAGAAACACCGTACTTCAATTTGTACAGCAGTAAGGGTCGAGCACATGTTGTAAAAGCTGCATACCGAATTTTCCCTCAAATATTTGTAAAAGTTGTTTCAATTTAAAGGCTGGATTTGAGATAAGGTATAAGCCTTGTGAGACGTGACCTATATATCATACAGGAGTCGATTTAATATTTTACGCTCACACATATCTGACATAGACAATGCAATTAGCATTTATATCACAGTTAGCTAGAACAACCATTTCGTGACAATTAGCCCACGTTATGCCTGGGTCACATAGGTGTCTGGCCGATTGAGTGTTTTGTTCAAAATTGTATTTGTTTGAAACAAAATACTCAATCGGCCGAGGGCCGACCGATGAATCGCAGCAAATATGAACCTGGCATTATGTAACGTTCCCTTTTTTACAAATACAATGTATCTTGGGCTTTTTTATATTTTGATATTGGTTGCTTATTTTCACGGCTTGATTGACGCACAAATATTTTGATTGTACGTGCTCATGACAGGTTTAGGCATTAATGGGTGACAACGTCTGTCAAAATATTGCACGTTGGTTGTGTTGACGTGATTTATGACTGAATACATATTAAAACTAGTGCTGCTTTTGAAAAGTTTTTAAAAAAGTATGGAAGAGTCTAACCTGCTCGTTAAAGATATTAAGTTTTATTATATCACTATCTAGCTAGCAACAGTATGATTGGTCAAAACCGGGTCACATGTCGTGGGATATCTGGCGATATTCAATGGCAATGCTAATCAGATAAGACAACCGTGAGATATCTAGCGATATCCCACGCTCCCGGGAATTTTCAAAGAATTTGTTTTCGTTCAGTTTAAATAATTTAGTTCAGTGTATGTCAAAATGGCAGACGAACCGAGTAGAATATATGTATTTCAATGTTAACCTATGACTTAATAATATTAGGGATGTTTAGCTAGACAGTGATATAATAAAACAAATATTTCACTCTATTTTCGGTGAATACCTGTAGCACTTTCACAAGGTGATATTCCACTTGCCCTTCGGGCTTCGTGGAATATCACTTGTGAAAGATGTACAGGTATTCACCTCAATAGAGTGAAATATTTGTTCAGTATTATGTATTGTACACGTAACTACATTAATTGTATGTACCTACATTGTAACACAACGGTGTTGCATGGTGTAATTAGTAGTATGTATCCAACAGACTGACTAGAAGTCAGTCTGTTATGATGTACTACTTTCCTGTGGAAATTGCAGTGAAATATTTTGCACAAAATTATCAATTAGAGGAACCATTTCTTCAATAAAATAAACATTACAAAATTTCAATTAAATGGTAAGGTACAATTAAATGCAATTAAAAGTAACACTATATTGTCAAGTGGAAATAAAGCTAGTTGAAGTGAAAATGTGCAAATTAATTTTACCAATCGGCCATTTTGAATAGCACTTCCTATGTAAACAAATGTTTCATTTTACCATACTTTAACATAGGTGCCTTATAGTCTGAATATAATTCAGACTAAATAGGATATAGTCTAGTATACTTAGTAATGTTTATGCGCATTAGCAATGTCATGAACAAAATTGAGCAGATTGTGATCCTCTCGATTTTTGTGAATTTCTAATTTCAGGGACTTTCTCTCAAAACAGACCCCAAGTTAGTCATGGAAACACTTTCTTAATCTCTCAAGCAACTTTAAGTTAGATGTGTTTTTTGGGAATTTTTATACAGTTTATAGTAATTTTAACGAAGCCACACATTACTTTCAAATATGGACCTCTTTCCAATGTTGTCTACAACTTTCAGTTTTGCATAAAGACTGCACTATTGTAGCGAGAAAAGAGTGTGGACAATATTTCGTTTATAAAATGTATGAAAACGAGAAAATCCAGTGACTTACTTTTTAAAAATAAAAAATAAGTCGGCTACTTTATTCTCCAATTTTTATATATATAAAAATATCCAAAACGTTCACTACGCTCTTTTCTGGTTACCTTTAGTGTACTCTTTGTGTAAATGTGAAAGATGTAGAGAGCGTATGAAAAATACGCCTCGCACTTTTTGTCAGATTTCAGACATAATTAACTTCAAGGTAATATACAAATTGGGAAAGAAATTGCCATCAATATATTCCAGAAAAGAAACATATTGATATGGTCTTTGTTGATTGAACATCGTTTAGATAATATTAGTATTGAAACATCACTGAGGGCGGTCCCAACAAAATCTCTATATGTCAACCTTGCTTGAAGCATCAAATTGATTAATTTGAGTATCGTATAGAGTTCACGGAATGTGTGTGTCAACGATGGATGCTTTTTGTTTGATACGTTTATTTCGTCGTATGATTGATATAATCAATAACTTCAAAAATACATGCTCATAGAATCTAGAATGTTTTGTTAATTAGGGGTACAATGTTTAGGACACTAAAGACTAAAAGAGTTTTTATGTTCACAATGATTATACAGTATGTATTACATCAAGGACAGGTTGACCGAACAAGCTCGAACATTTAGCACGCATCAATGAATATGTACGTAACATATAACAACTGAATACACTCCCTGGAGTGAATTGAACTTACACTTGTACAGAATCGATTTCCGTGTTCAGCCTCGTACTTGAAGCACAGTTGAATTTAGAAACATATTATAACGAATGCGTCAGGTCTAATAAGTCTCAGCAACGTACCCAAAAGCAAAAGCGACCGACCCAAGACGGGAAAGGCTACAGTTGTCTGTG